AAAGGTGAGGAAAAGAAACAAGGTGCATCTGGTGAAGTGAATGTGCTAAAAGGTGAGCCTTTACAACAATCTCCTCATTAATGACAATTACGACCTGTGGATTCCAGCTGGGTATTATCGGCAATAATATTACTAAAAATGCACTAAACTCACAGGTCGTACCATTTGATCTCCGAACCCTGTGTTCTATATCAGGGCTCTTCATGTGGACAATCCTCCTCAAAACCCATCACTGACCACCAGCTATGTCCACGGCACCTCCTCTTTCTCACTACTACCCCTGACTGTGAGCCAGAGTCTGGATGCAACTGCCCAACGCTGGCCTGAACGGGAAGCTGTTATCTTTGTGCAGGATGGCATCCGAAAAACGTTTGCACAGTTTCAACAAGACGTACGTGATTTCATCCATTTAGCTTTTGCTTTTTCATGCATTTGACCCTTACACGTTATTTATATGTATTTAGTTATTGTTTTAGTGGTTGAATCTGACTTTTTAATCATATTAATATGGGCTTTTCCCATTAAGATCCAAGATGTAGGACCTTTACTCTCAGTGGTCACTTTGCATAAGAATCTGGTTGATTGTTAAACCCGATTACATCATTTTAAGAAAAACATGGACATAAAATGTGGTTCCTGGAAAGTTTGATAGTGACTCTCTGTGCACCATCTGTAGTTGGTTTTTTGAAGACATTAAAAAAATAGCTGTGTTAAAAAGCCCATCTTACTGACATCAGAAAGAGACTTAAAAACAAAAAGAAAAGACAGAAGAAGCTTTTTTAAGTTTGCTGCTTTTTACCACAGAACCCTGTTAATAATTTTTAACTTTTGAAAGTGTTGTGTGTATTTTTTATTTTTTTTGTCATTTTCTTTTTGTGCAGGTTGACAAGGCTGCTGCAGGCCTCCTTGCTCTGGGGCTGAAGCGAGGCGATCGACTGGGAGTCTGGGGGCCAAACACATATCAGTGGATCCTTTTCCAGTTTGCTTCAGCCAAGGCTGGAATTATACTGGTTAGTACAGGAGCTGTGTACATGCTCTTGAAACAGCTTTTACAGCACCGTAGCTTGTGTTATCAAACGCAGTCAAATGTAAGTGACAAGGACATTGAACCTGGCAGATGCATAGAGGAGCTGTTATGTGATCTCACAATTTTATGCTCACCAGCTCAAAAATAATCTGTCATCATCACCTATAATATATTGTGCATGATCAGACACCTTTCTCACTCACTATGTGTTAACAGACCTCTCTGCATTAGATCATACTTGTTATTAATCTCTGGCTCTCTTCCACAGCATGTCTTTTATCCTGTCTTCCTTCTCTCATGTGAGGGAGTTTTTCCTTCCTACTGTCGCCAACCTGCTCGTTCATAGGGGGTCATATGATTGTTGGGTTTTTCTCTGTATGTATTATTGTAGGGTCTACCTTACAATATAAAGCATCTTGAGGCAACTGTTATTGTGATTTGGTGCTCTTTAAATAAAATTGAATTGAATGATATGGTATGATTTCTGTAGTCTTTTGAAAAAAGACAGTGAAGCTTTGCATGGATCGAACTTTTGTCTTTGAACTGTTATCTTTGCAGGTGCCCTTGAACCCATCCTATCAGGTAAAGGAAGTGGAGTTCACTATATTAAAGGTACAGTCAGTTGGCCCTATTGGGACAATAGCCTGAAATTGAATAGAAATGTTTAGCCTGCTTACAATTTCTATGCTGCACTTCCATTGGTTACTGATAATTTACTGGATTATTCAAGCGTAAAGGAATTTGAATGTATTAAAACAGATTTGTTGCATCTAGGTCCAGTGTAAGGCAGTGGTATGTCCAACCAGCTTTAAAACCCAGAGATTTTGTGAGATGCTGAGGGAGATTTGCCCAGAGATTGGCACAACAC